TCATCTGTGTGAGCCAGAAAAGTGGGAAACATTTAATAGCTCGTTGCATTGCTGTAGTGCCTTAGTTCAAGGCTCTCATAGGATTTTACAAACTCCGTTTACCTCTCAGTTCTTGACCATGGGGTTTTGATCCAAGAACTCTTTCCATGGTCTGCTCAGAACCACTCCAAAGGCAAAAAATCTCATTGAAGGACCCATCTCATGAAGTTTCCTCCATCTGGCACCAAAATCTTGGGAAAACCACCCTGCTCAGTTTGACCTGATCTCCAGTCCCTGCTCCCAAAACAGTGTATGCAACTAAATAAGCACCTCTAAAACCACAAGGAACCCCCACCAAGAGACTACAGGTGCACGTAAGGAACACTGACTCCACCAAAATACCTCAGCCTCATTATACCCAGCAGATCCATCAGAAACATCTTCTTCTGGCTCTTTCAAAATCCTGCCTGTGATGGAAGAAATGTCCCAAGGATGCTCGTGCTTCAGCATAAAAAAGAAACAGCTAAAAGTAAGAGACATGCTCTGTGGTGATTCTCCTCCATCATAAAGAAGGTTGAAAGCTGGTTTTGTGCCTTTTGCAGGCATTAAAGCAGCTGTCCATGGCACTGCTTGCTCCTGCCATGTTTTGGAAAGCTTTACTCCTGCTAGATATGGGGTCATGGCAACCAGCCAGCAAGGCGACTGGCAGTGTTAATGCATTTACTTCAGCATCAGTGCCTGGCAAGGAAGTTACTTATTTTTGCAAAAGCAATAGGAAAAGCCGCACAGGAAAGAGGAAAAATCTGACACACGCTTCGGAGCTCAGTGTGGAGACCAGAGGGAACGTGTATAAAACCTTTTTCTTTCTACAAGCAGCTGACTGCAATGACCTCAGTTTAGAAATTTGGAGACATCAGGGTGTAGATGCCAAATTTTAGCTCAGTGAGGGCTCCTCATCACCAGAGCTGGCTCACCAGACCACCCTCCCAAATCATCCAGGTTAAAGTCATTTCTTTGGTGCGCTGAAGCTTCAATATCCGTTACCAGCATTGTGTTGCAAAAATCCAACCCCTTAGGTTTTTGGTACGCTGAAATGAGGCTTTGCAGGTGTAACATTGGAATCGGTAAAGAAGATGACACATGAAATAAGATTATTGAAACAGTAAAGGATCCTGACCTGTCCCGCTCCCTCATCCAAAGGGGAATGTCAAACCAGCAGCTCCGGATGCCAAAACCCAAATGGTACTCCTCTTCTCCACCAGTGTAGACCAAGCACAGTGCTGAAGGTATTAAACATATTCACCGCAATTATATAAACAAGACAGAACAGGGACTGATTTCCCAGGCCTCTCAGAAAATTCCCTACATGTGGCTAATCACCGAGAAACGGGGACCTTCCGTCCCACATGCAGAGATTTTTCTGTGTCCCAGTGCTCGTTCCTGATGGATATGCTCAGAGCTACAGTACTCCTAGCACTGCAGAAATGGAGATCTTTTCCACAGGTCGTTAAGGAAGTGCATGCATGAGCTTAAGGAAGATCACCTTAACCAGACTTTTCCATGAGCAAGGAAATTAATCTCAGGTGTAACAGATGAACTATGAGAAATAACACAGGAAATTAATTTAAAAAAAAATAATTGTGACAGGTTGCAATTGCTTATTTTTAGCTCTTTGTGTGGGATAACAAAATATTTGTATGTACATAAACCTGTAATGAACTTCTAAAGCAAAGAGACATCCTAGAAATTAGCACGGCATAAATGCATGCCTGTATAAATGAGGAATTCTTTGTGATTACATCCTGTAACAGAGAGTTACAACAATTTAGGAAGCTGGTAACCAGCTTTAGAAAACATTACTTTCTGGCTACTGGGACTTTTTTACTTTCAGCAAAAAGAGATGTCACCGAACTGGACAGATGCAGATACACAGGACAGGGAGGAAGACAATACAGCGAGCAGTGATGGACAGTTACCTTCTGATGCCTGATCACTAAATCCCTGAGACAAAGGATTTTATGCCCCTGTGTTCCCTCCAGCACAAAACCTCACATTGTTACATCTATGTATTCCTCATAATATATCTAATAACATAATGCAATATAGAAACATATTCCTGTCTGGAGTTAGGCACGACTGTTGCCAGCAAGCAGCCCAGGACTGAACATGCACCAAGCGTGACTACCTGCAAATTAACCGCGTCATGAGCCAGGTATTTGGCAACGTGAACCTGGGGAACTTGACCTTCCAAGAGAGATTTTTCCCTGCCAGACTCTTCATCCCTTGCCTTCTCCGATCACTGCCTTTTCTAAACAAGGGATTAAAGCATGTGTAAAACACCAAACAGCCAAGCACTAGGATAAAATCAAGTGTTAAGGTGCCCTGGCTGCCTTAGGGTGATTCCTTCTCTGGTAGAAAAACATGAGCAGAGGACAGTTTCAGCATCTGTGGGACTAAAGGGAGCTCTGTGCTCCACGTCACGCAGACAAGCGCATGCAGCTCTGGATGTTGTGCAGGTGCCAATCCAAGGGAAAAAGAAATCACTGGGTCCCTGTTTGTCACCAGCACTCACACGACAAGAGCGACGCTCTTGTGGTCTTAACATGGTGTTGCAGAAAGGCATCAAGAGCTGTGAGCGATGAAAGGATGGAGTAAAATAAATTCTCCTCTCAACTTTGGGTGAAATGGATTTACGGGTCCAAGAGTTTCCAGGGAAGGAGGAATAAACGCATGCTCATAAATGGTAAAATTCATGAGCATGTAAAACACTTCTTGTTTTGTTTGTTTGTTTTTCGGTAGGCAGGCTAAGAAAGAATTAGTGATAAATTAAAATAACATCGTGGTAATTTAGAGGGAACCAGAAGCTCTCCATAGAATGAGATGGAACTAAACACTGAAGCATCTCCACACACCCAGGCACGCTTCTACAGGGAAAACACAAGAACAGCAGGGTCAGGGCTGGGATTTATCAGCACGACATTAACAAAAGCAAGTGAGGGAAACGAGTGACAAAACCCCAATGCCAAAACCTCAAGTTCTTTACCTGGGGAAGTCTGGGGCACTGAGTATAGTATTGAGGCTTAATAAAAAATCATCACTCAAAAGAGGAAAGATCACCTTTTTGTTCTGCTGGGTGGCTGCAAGGACGGAGTCAGAACAGTGGTAAAAGCAGCTGCCAAACTGGAACAGATCAGAAAGCAGAAGTGTTAAACAGTTTGATTAAACCAAACCAGTATGTAACTTTACAGTTTTTATCCTTGTTTGTACTTAAGATGCTGTGAAATCGCCTCCTCCCTGCTTTTGGAGACATTACCCCTTTCCCCGTTCTCCAGGTCTCCACAGAGGAGGGCTGGCTCCTGCTCCGCATCTCTCACCTCCAGCAGTTGCTGTCAGCTGTGGAATTTGCTCCTGATTTATTCCACACCAGAGAAACACCTGACAAAAGAAAGAAATTATACAGCTGCTGAGGGAGATTACTTTTTTTCCTTCCTACTTGGCCAAAAGCTTTCTCAGGAAATTGTATTATTGGCCATGGATAAAATGAAGTACCACTAATGGAAAGCTAATTGATTTTTCGTATTTGCTGACTTGCAGCAAAGTGGTAAGAAAATCAAAGATAGTCTGTAACCTCGATCAAGTAAGAGAAGTAAGCTTTAGAGGTACATGACAAAATGCCCCCTGCTTCAGCTTTTAGGAGACTTTTCCACGTTCCATACATTTTTGCCAGGTACAGGACAAACTTCTACCCAAGCTACGAGGTTTTGCAGGTTTTGTCTGCATCAAAAGCCTCCTTACAGGAGGGGACATGGAGGTGGGAGGCTGTTTACTTTTATTTAAAGAGAAGGAGGTGATCAATGACAACCAGCAGAGGAGTAAGACACAGTCAAAGAAAAGCAAAATCTTTCTGTGTGCAATAAATTTGATTAAGGGGATAAGAGACAAAAAATTAAATATAGAGAACAGAAGCTGCAACAGATAAATAAGTGGCATAAACCTTTAAAACTACTGAGAAATAAACATTTAATTAAAAACCCAAATGCTAAACAAGCAGGAAGCGTTCCCTCAGCTTCACAAGAACAGATAAAGATAGTAAAGTCTAACCAGCTCATTTCTAGTTAGAGACCTGAAGGTGAGGCTTAATTAAAACTCAGACCACCCCACATCAGCATCAGTTTTACAAAATACAATCAGATTCCCAGCGGGTATCTGGCGCTTTTGGCTGGAGAAAAAGAGAGTGCTCCAGCTCTTCCAGCACCTGGCACCAAACATTCCTGTGTTGTCACTAAAATCACTGGGGACAGACAGAAATTCTGCAGGTTTCAGACCGGGCACAAGGAGAGCAAAGCCAACTTCTAACCCATTTTTTGTACAGGGTAGGTGGCCGCGGAGGCGAGGATGTAGCCAGGAGCTGAAGGCCACAAATGAGCCTGTCACTGCTCTTGTGCCTGGCCACGATCTCATCAGGAAAGGTTAAAAAAAAAAAAAAAAAAAAAAAAAAAAAAAAAAAAAAAAAAAAATCACTCAACTCGAACTTTGCTGGGCTACTGACCTCAGCAGCAGGAGATGGTGATTTCACCAGTTTATAGATACAGTAAACCTATTACATTAAGTCATGCTCTAGGCAGGATTTTTCATCCCACCACTTTGAGGTTGAGTGGATGTGGCTCCATGCCCTCCTTTCAGACACTCACAAATCAAGCAGGAAACCATCCACTCCCTGCAGTATCTAAATCCATCCCTACTGCCTTGTATCAACTCCACGGCAATTAGGGGCCTACTTTGCTGCTGACTGCTGCTTTTCATCCCACTGCCCATCACGTAATTGTCTCCTAGTTCAGTGCAGATGCATTTCTTTCTGCACTTGTTACCTCCGCTTTGGCACTGAAAACACAAATTCATCAAGGCAGGAACTGCCAATTCATCATACTTTCACACCATGGCTTAGCACAAGAGGCAGAAAGCCTCCCCAAGGTTGCAAATAAACACTACCATCGAAGGAAAAGCACCAAGCAACAGACTGATTCATATAAAAACTTTATTAGGAACGAGGACACAGCCTCCCAGGAACAACATCCAACATTATCTCCCAAACTTTTACAATTTATCAGCCGTAATTAAATACAAGTAGCTATAAAAATGGTGTGCACATCTATATAAAAAGGGAGAACTAATCCTCAAGTCACCATTGGTTCAAAACATGGAGAAAGTAATTTTCCACGGTGGTTTGCATGCGTGTGGGCACACAGACACCCACGGAGGCTGTGAGCTGCCCTGGCATGCGATGGGGTTTTGGTGCTTTCCATCACAGGAACCAGTCTGGGTTTTGGTCTTTCCAGAGTCTGTATTGCTTTAATCCAGAGAGAAAGAGAGAGAAGAGCAAAGGGTTATGGCTTGATATTGCACCTGATATGGTATGCTGGGTAAATAGTTGGTACTTTTGAATCTTAAAATCACACAAAAGTGAATATTATCCTATCACTAGTTTTATTTCAACGGTAAATAATAATAATTAATAATAGTAATAAAAACAAGACTTGCTACTGTTAACAGAAAAAAAGACCAACCTCATTTAACCGCCATCTACAGATGAGAAAATAAACGATAAATAGGGCCTAGTTTATAAAAACCTTTTCTTCTACTCATACCCCAAAAAATAACTCCTGCCTAATCCAGCACCAGTTTTAACACCGCTAATTTTTAGCGCATCAACCACTATATTGTTAATAGCACATCAACTGCTATATTATGATTGCTATTACTATTTAGTACAAAACACAAAAAAGGAGGAAAAAATACTCAAAATATATGTTTCTCAATTTCCTTATGGATGTTTTCCATATTGTGCCATAACAAAGAATTTAAAGCAAAATAGATATACAAAAGCTACTGTGCTCAAGTCAGCGGCATATGTACACATTAAAATCAAAACAATACAAAAAGTATTCTAGTAGCAAAGGCAATATATAATATTTTATATAAAACAGAGTCTGAGAAGTATAAAATTAGGAAATAATGCATAGAAGAGCGTGTTTCACAGGCCCTGCAGCAACGTGTTGTTCGCAGCAACGGCTGCATGAGCAAATCCTTGCAGCGTAGGCAGAATTCACACCAGAACCCGACATGAACAACTCACTGCCTGCAGAATTCGCTGGTTATGTTGGGAAGGGGGTAGGCAAAGAGGGTGAAATCTAGGATGTATTTTTGTAACAGCTCTTTTATCAGCCGGCGTTGGGTGTTGCACAGGTAGTAATGGAGCGTTTCTGCCGTCACGGGCTTGTACCAGGACTGCCGTTCGGGGAAGCGGATGAAGGAGGGCGACTGGACTCGCTCGAGGACGTAGTCGGCGTCGGCGTTCAGGCGCTCGTAGGAGCCGATGAAGTCGTACCTGACGGCGCAGGGCTGGCAGAGGTTGTAGATGGGCATCCAGTGCTCGTTCATCCTCTCCACCTCCTCGTCCAGCAGGTACCGGAGAAATTCAGAGAAGGTCACGTCGTCACCGGCCGAACTCCCCCCGTTCTTCCGGTACCGCCTGATGATCTCCACCCCGTACTTCTGCTGATACTCCTTAATCTCCCCAAACTTATTGCGGTAGGCCGAGAGCAGCCTCTCCACCGGGTTCCGCACGAAGATGAACTTGTAGTAGTTCTTCAGGCGGTAGCTGATCTCGTCTGGCTTCATGTCCCCCAGGAACACCAGGTCGCTCTTGTGGTCCATCTTCAGCTTGACGTCGACGCTCTCCAGCGCCCCGTCCAGCACCTTCAGGATGCGCTTCCAGTTGGAGCAGGCCACCTTGGGCACGTAGCAGTACAAGAAGCGGTACTTGTCGCTGACCAGGAGGTGCCGGAGGACCGTCCGCCGCTGCCCGGCCGGCAGCTCCCAGACGCTGCGGGGCATGGCCGGCTGCCCGCAGACGGCGCGGATCGTCCGGTTGCGGATGTCCCGCAGCACCTCGGATTCCAGGTCGCCGGGGCCCCCCTCACCGCCGCCGCCTCGCCGGGAGAGCTCCCCCGCCGCCGGGTGCAGCGGCAGCGGCTTCACCTCGGCCAGGATGCCCTTCTCGATCATGAGGAGCAGCCCGCTGGAGGCCAGGATCACGCCGAACATCAGCATGGAGGGCAGCAGCAC